GCAGGAATGTCTTTTAGATTTATAACCATCTTGTATTTTAGGAAGAGAAAAAGAAAACAGAAGAATAATACTTGAGTTATAATTAACAATAGTTAATTAACTGACACCTACCTGTGCTTTCTGAAGCAGTTCAATTGTAAGAGGAAGCCAATCAGGAATGAGTTTCTCCACTTCCAAACTAACCATGGCCAGAGCAAGCATGGATCCTTTGAATTGCAGAAGTTGGTTGCAGGCCATACAGTGAAGTAGTTGCTTGGTAAGGACTGCCAAATGTTGAGATGGGCTCAATTTGGGCAAACTGAAAAGTAACTGAGGTCTAGTTGAGACTGCAATGGCATGGAACTGAAAACCAGAAGAATAACAGATTAATTTAAATTAAATGTCTAGGACATTATATATAAAAATTAATGTAACCTTCTCAGACATTACCCAAAGTCTAAGTTTGCAATTTTAGCTTCATTTTTTTTAATCCTAATTTTTAATTTTTCCTTGGCTAATTTCAATAGTTTTCCTTGTCCTAAAAATCAATACAAAATATGTGTGGCAATCTATTTTTTATGCTATTAAAACAGGGTTACATAGTCAAGAAACTAAAAGACTTCATGTATATTTACAATGTGAAGAAAATCCAATGGCGTGGCTGTGTGAAGATCCCAATTCAGCTTATCCAGAATAATCCTCTCCATTCTCAGAATTTCAGATGAGGAACATCCACAGAAACTGTCTCTTGCCAATACCTTCAGTACTGGAATTCTCTATCCAAAGCAAAAGGAAACAGTGAAAGGAAGAAAGGACAGAAAAAAATCAAACTCACTTTTAATCTTTGTTTTTGCCAAAAAAGGAAAGATAATAAATGGAGAAAAAAAAAAAAAAGACATAGCTAATCTTAAAAAGATTTATTACCTCATCTTCCTCAACAGTCTTGGCAGCTAGGAAAAAACAGCTGATTGCTATACAGCTCAAGTATTTTGGGTGGGCCTAAAATTTTGAAGAGAGAAAAAGTAGCTTTAGTGATTTTGCAAATAGAGTTTAACCATTTTAAAAAAAACTTTACATGAAAATAAGAGAAGTATGCACACACTTACTATTGTAGAATTCAATTAATTTGATTCTCACCTGTTTGATTTCTTGGTCAGAGCTAATTTTTTTTTTTTTTTTTTAGGTTCTTGCCATAGGGTGCATGCACTTTCCAGAGAGAGAGAGAGAGAGAGAAAGAAAGAAATCATCCTCTAAGGGGGATGGCCACGCCTTAATCCCTTCTCCATTTTTCTCTAGAATTTTGGCATGCATGCACACATGCCTGGTGTGATTTTCAAGACATTAGGCTGAGGACTTGAACTACGGTTGACCATGTGAGAGTACAATGCTTTAACTACCATGCTACCTGCTAGCCCCCAGAGCTAACTTTTAATAACATAACCCTAGCCATGTGATAGTCCACCGACCTAATAAGATCATTTCATTGCTCAAGTTCATCCAAGAAAGTTAGCCAAGATTAATTTCTACCCAGCAAGGAAGAGCCCGATATTAGAAATTTTTGTTTAACAAATATTCTAAAAATTCAATATATAATATGTATTTTTAAGTTAGTTTTACTCAAAAGTTATTTTTACTAACAAACATCAGTAAAATAACACTAAGCACTGAGTGAATTAAAGAGAAAGAAGAGAATATAAAAATAGGCTATTAATATATTTTAAATACTTTAAAAACTGCAGGAAGTTGGGCCAGTGGGTGGTGGGAAGGTTAAGGCAGATGGATCCCACATGGCTAACTTCTTGGTTCAAGTCCTGGACCTAATGGCTCAGAAATCATGTTGGGAACATGTGTGTGTATGCCCAAAATCCTGTGAGAAAAATGGATAAGGGACTGCAGTGTGTCCATCTTCTGGGGAACATGATTTCTCACTTTCCCTTTCTATCTCTGTCTCTGGTAAGCACTCATGATATAGAAAAAACTAAATTTGTAAGATGCTAAACAGATGAGTAGAAATTTTCTAAATATTAAGTGTCCTCCCTTTCCACGCACACACCCCTATATTTAAATTCCATGATAAGAATGAAAAGGTCCTGGGACCAGGAGACAGTGTAATGGGTTTTATCACTGGACTCCCACATGGCCGACAGTGATTCAAGTCCCAGACTTAGTGGTGTGAAACTCACTGGACACGTGTATATGCATGCCCAAAATCCCAAGAGGAGAATGGAGGAGAAGGGACTGTGGCATGGCCATCCCCCCCACCCCCGGGGGTGATTTCTTGTTTGTCTCTTTGTCTCTCTCCGGTGAGCACATGTGCCCTATAGCAAAAATCTCTCTTAAAAAAAGTTACTACAGAAGTGAGTTAGGTAACATAAATGCAACAATAAACATATTTCACCATTTACTTTATATTTATGTATTACATTCTCATTAAAGTGTGAAAACCTTTTAATGACCAGAGTATGGCCTTAATTAGCTTATCATTCCAAAAACTAGTTAATTACCATTGCCTTAGTATAAGTGACATATAGTCTAGGAATTTTCCAATCTTCTGTCCACAAAAGAAAGAAAAGTTGGCTCACTACTGTCAATATTTAAGGTAATAGTTACAGTATAGAAAATACTTCCATAAATAGTATCTCTGGTATGTCTTCAGCTCACAAGTAAAAAAACAATCTCAGCAGTTCCATGCTTTAAAAAAAAAAGAAAAAAAGAAAAATTTAAAAAATTATTTAATTTATTTATTACTATTTTTTTTTTTGGAGAGGTTTTTTGCTATGAGGCACATGCGCTCGCCAGACAGACAGAGAGAGACATAGAGACAGAAAGCGAGAAATGGGGGGATGGTCACGCCGCAATCCCTTCTCCTCCATTCTCCTCTCGGGATCTTGGGCACACACGCACACGCGCCCAGCCTGAGTTTTAGGCCACCGGGTCCGGGACGCGAACCACGGTTGACTACGTGGGAATCCAGCGACATAGCCATTATGCTAACTGCTGGTTCCTATTATCACTATTTTTTAACTTGCTATAGGACATATGAGTTCACCAGAGACAGAGAGAGAGAGAGATAGACAGAGGGAAAGCAAGAATGCAAGCAGCCAGGTCCGAAATTCAAATCATCAGCCATGTAGGAGTACAATGCCCTAATCACCATGCTACCTGCTGGGTCCTGAAAGCACTTTTTTTTTTTTTTTATAAGAGAGGTTTTTGCTATAGGGCACGTGCACTCGCCAGAACCAGAAAGAGAGAAACAGAGAGTCAGAAAGCAAGAAATCACCCTCCCCAGGGTAGATGGCCACACCGCAATCCCTTCTCCTCCATTCTGCTCTCAGGATCTTGGGCACACATGCACACGTGCCCGGCGTGAGTTTAAGCCACTGGGTCCAGGACTCGAACTGCAATAGACTATATGGGAGTCCAGTAACATAGCCATTACGCCATCTGCTGGTTTCCCCTGAAAGCACTTTTAAAGAGCTTATTTAAAAATGTTGGGGACTGGCAGGTGGTGTGGCGGTTAAAGGCGCTGGATTCCCATATGGCCAACCACAGCCATGGACCTAGTAGCTTGCTTTCTCCCTTTTCCTTTCTCTCTCTCTGGTCAAATTTTTAAAAATAAATAAATAAATAACAACAAATGGAATTAAATAAATAAATAATTTTTTAAAATAAATTCTAAAAAATGTTTAATGCACAAGAATCATTTTTATGACAGATGCTAGAAATTCACTAATAATTTTCAAAGGATATATCATCCAAGAAAGGATATTAACCTTAAACTCATCTTTCTGTGATATTATCTGTGAAAGTTAGGTTGGGTGTGGGAGAGAGATGTGAGAGGGGACTTATTGCTGATATAAAAGCAGGCATTTCCAATAACCCAGATGTCAGGCAACTGGCATCATTATAACTAAGGGTCTTGAAATCTCTTAAGATCAGAAGTTTCGGGGCCAGCCGGTGGCGTGGTGGTTGAGACGCTGAACTTCCACATGGCCAACCCTGGTTTAAGTATAGGACCTGGTGGCTTGAGGGTCCCACTGGGTGCCTGTGTGTTCATGACCAAAATTCCAGGAGGAGAATGTAGAAGAAAAGATTGCAGTATGGCCATCCTCTCTCCCCCAGGGGTGATTTCTCACTTTCTCTCTCACTGTCTCTCTCTCTCTGATGAGCACACACACCCTATGGCAAAAATTACTTATTCATCATTATTTTTAAATTTGACACAGGCACTAACTAGAGAGAGACAGAGAGGGAAGGAGAGAGAGAAAGAGAGAAAACAAGCCCCCAGATCCGGGACTTGAATTACAATCAACCATGTGGAAATCCAGCACCCTACCAACCATGCTACCTGCTGGCCCAGCCACACAAATTCTTACACTCCATATCATTTTTCATTCCTGGTTTAAAAAAGCATTTAATTCACAGTTCACTCAGCTTACATATTCCTAGGCATACAAATGACTACAGGTGAATTCCTTTTCTATTCTTTCATGCCTTGCCATTAAATAAATGCTGGCTCTCTGCTTTAAATCTATTTAAGACCTATTATGACTGATTGAACATAACACAGACAATAATGTATTATAGCAATATAGATTATATAAAATGTATTCATTTATTTGTATGCTGCCATTTAACGAAAATATACCAGTTATTTTATGACATTGTGTTATATACCAAAGATTGATACACATTATGGTTATACAATAAATAATGTGAGAGAAATGTACAAAAGACTTACATTTTTCCAGTCTTATTCATCATCTACCTCTACTACATAACCATTGTGTTAGAATATGATAAAATATTCTGCCAACGCTATGTGGTTTGTACTAAAATCAAGAGATCAAAAATTTCATATACCAAGTTATCAATGCTGCAGCAAAAAGAAAACTACAGACTGTAACTAAAATTTCAAAAAATTAGGGCTGGCAGGTGGCATGGTAGTTAAGGGACTGGACTCCCACATGGCTGACCACAATTCAAGTATCAGACTTGGTGGCTTGTCTTTTCTCTCTGCTGTCAAACTGAAGAATAGTAGTAATAAATTTAAAAATGAATTATTCTTTAAAAATTTTTTTTCCAAATATTAAAAAGCAGCAGAAGACACCATGTCTTCTTGCGAGTATGTAAATTATTCTCATAAAAATTCCACTTCTATTTTATAGAATGTTTGCCAGTAGCCTTTGGTTTAGAACATATACCATTAAATGAGAGATTATGTGCAAGTGTATCTTAGAATATTTACCTTTACAGTGGCTAAAAACCTGTCCAAAAGGCTGCTAGCCAGAGCAAATGTTTCTGGATAAAGGTTGAATTGGTACTTTAGTTTGGCCAGCCACTGAATGACTTCATCTCTCTGGGATGGAGAAACATTCTGTAAGAGAACAATTTTTAAAAATTAATTAAAATTACATTAAATTATAAGACAAAGTTTAAACTTATCATAAATAGTATGCTTAGAATTCTCTCACAAAAGATAAATACTATAGAAAATGTCTTTATATGTTGTTCTTAAGGTTATTGAAAATCTATCAAACTGGAGCTATTACAACATTAAGATACAACTTTATGTACTGGTTCTTGAACTAAATATCAATATGCAATATTCTCTTATTCCTTACTAAAATTTTTACTATATTACCTTGTCAAATATCTATAGTTTAATTGAACGGAGGTGTTCAGGAATATATTATTTTAAAGTTTAAGTAACACTATTATCAACCAATAGAAATTCTGGAATGAAAATTTTGCAATTTCTAAAGTAGCAAGTAGTTACTAATTCATCTTAGGAAACATGAACGGACTATAACAGAATATAGTCCATTATTCTTACAAAACTACAATATCCCATATTTCTATGGAGCTCAGAGGTGCCATCTGAAGATCTACTTCTATACTAGTAGCCTAGGAACCCAGTGAAAGCAGTCATGAAATTTCTATATAGGTGGAGAGCACTAAACATTCAAGAGAAGTTAAATCCCTAACTATCTGAAATGCCAAAACAAATAAAGAAAAGTGTTATTAGATAACCACAAAACAAAGGAACAACAAAGATATAAATACACACAAGGAGAGGTAAGTGATTAAATCTGTTGAAACTGGGGAAATCAACAAAACTAAAAAACTAATCGATAGACCTTTAGGCAAGGTTGATCAAGAAAGAAAAACCACAAATCACCAAAGCAAAAATGAAAAAGGGTACATCACCATGGATCCTTTCCATGTTCAAAGGGAAATAGGACATTGGCAATTTAAATGAAATAGATAAATTTCCTAAAAATTATAATTACCAAAACAGAAACAAGAATTAAATGAAGACCTGATTAGTCTCACATGTACTACAAAAAAAAAAAAAAAAAAAAGCTCAGTTATTATTTAACTATGAATAAATTTCTAGGTCCTAGTAGTTTCCCCAGAGAATCCTTCCAAATGTTTAAAAAAGAAATGTCAAACCAGCATGTGGCATGGTGATTAAGGTGAATTCCCACATGGCTGACCCTGCTTCAAATCCTGGACCTGGGGTCCCAGCAGGTGGCGTGCTGGTTAAAGGTGCTGGATTCCCATGTGGTCGACTACGGTTTGAGTCCCAGACCTGTGGCTTACATGCTTTCTCTCTCTCTCTCTCTCTCTCTCTCTCTCTCTCCCCCCCTCCCATTCCCTTCCTCCCTCCCTTCCCTCCCTCCCTCTGGTCAAATTAAAAAATAATAATGATAATAATAAAATAAATGGAATTAAATTAATTTTTTTTAAAATCCTGAACCTGGTGGCTTGAAAAATCACACTGGGTGCGTATGTGTGGGTGACGAAAATCCCAAGACAATGGAGGAGAAAGTACTGTGGCATCGCCTGGCATGATTTTCAAGCCACTAGTCTGAGACTCCAATTGTAGTCATCCATGTGGGAGACCAGCAACATAACTGGTACACCATCTGCAGGCCCTGTATATAAACAATCTGGGACCAGCCAGTATTATGGCATGGTGGTTAATGCACACTGGATCCCACAAATGGGCAGTTTTGAGTTCCAAACCGAGCAGCTTGTAAAACGCCAGGAGGGGGCCAGCAGATGGCCAATGGTTACATCAATGGACTCCCGGACCAGGTGGCTTGAAACTCACACCAGGTACATATGCATGTGTGCCCGTGATCCAAGAAGGAAATGGGGCGTAGCTATCTCCCCAGGGGATAATTTCTCATTTTTCCTTCCACCGTCTGTGTCTCTCTCTCTCCCTTGTGAGTACACATGCCCTAAGGCAAAAATCTCTTTAAAAAGACAATACAGTAAAATAAAAAGAGAAAAAAAAAAAACCTAAAACCATAAGGCAGAAAATAAAAAGAGAAAGAAAAAAATCCAAAACTATAAGGCAGGATGATTGCGATGAAGACCCTGTCTTAAAAAGTACTAGGTTGCAGGAACCAGCAGTTAGCGTAATGGCTATGTCGCTGGACTCCCACGTAGTCGACCGCGGTTTGCGTCTTGGACCCGGTGGCTTAAATCTCATGCTGGGCGCATGTGCGTGCGTGCCCAAGATCCTGAGAGGAGAATGGAGGAGAAGGGATTGCGGCGTGACCATCCCCCCTGGGGGGGGATTTCTCGCTTTCTGTCTCTATGTCTCTGTCTGTCTGGCGAGCACACGCACCCTATAGCAAAAAAAAAACCTCTCCAAAAAATAAAAAAATAAAGTACTAGGTTGAGGTCACCAGATGGCATAGCGGTTACATCACTAGACTCCCACATGGTCGATGATGGTTCAAGTCCCAGACTCAGTGGCTTGAAAATCACAATGGGCACGTGTACGTGTGTGCCCAAGATCCCAGGAGGAGAATGGAGGAGAAGGGACTGCAGCACGGCCATTCCCCCCGGGGGGGGTGATCTCTTACTGTCTCTGTCTCTCTCTCCAGTGAGCACATGTGCCCTAAGGCAAAAACCTCTTAAGAAAAAAAAAAAAAAAATGCAGGGCAAATGTGCAAGTGCACCTAAAATCCTAAAAGGAGAATGGAGAACAAGGGACTGACATGACCATCCTCCATGTGGGAGTACTTTCTCATTGTCTCTGCCTCTCTCCAGTGAGTGCTTACACTAACTAGCAAATTTTAAAAATATATAATAATCTCGTCCAGCCACAGTATCCTGTTCTGGCAGATGCTACAACCTGGCACACTGAAGCTGCATAGGAGGCTTAAGTTCAATTTCCAGCTCATCATAAAAGCGGGGCATGGTGGTACACACTTACAGACCCAGCTACTAAGGCTAAGAAAATGAAAACAAAAACACAAACAACCAGGAACCAGCAGTTAGTGTAATAGCTATGTCGCTGGACTCCCACGTAGTCGACCACGGTTCACACTCCGGACCTGGTGGCTTAAAACTCATGCCGGGCGCGTGTGCGTGTGTGCCCAAGATCCCGAGAGGAGAATGGAGGAGAAGGGATTGCGGCGTGACCATCCTCCCCCCGGGGGGTGACTTCTCGCTTTCTGTCTCTATGTCTCTCTCTGTCTGTCTGGCGAGCGCACGCGCCCTATAGTAAAAAAAAAAAAAAAAAAAAACCACCACCACACAATTGCACATAAAATTTAAAAGGAAAAAAAAATTTTTAAATTTTAAAATCAATTTGGGGCTGGCTCTATGGCACAGCAGTAAGGCAACACTCAATAAAAGCTAGATCCCACAAGGCAACTATAAGTCAAATCCCCAGCCTGAAACATGCTGGACACACACAGGAGTGCTCAAGATCTGATGGGCTAGAGGACTGGAAAAAGAGGATCATGGCATGACAAGACCCTGTAGATGATATTCATCTCTCTCTGTCATGTGAGCTCTATCATGAATAAAGGAAGGAAAAATATCAATTTTATTTCTATACACAAACATAATAGAAACAAGCATATATAAAAAGTGAAAAATTTTTAATAGCACCAAAAACATAGGAATAAACCTAAACTACCACACATTACTCAAAGAATCTAAAGAGCACCCTGTAAAAAATAAGATAAGTACATTATGTTCATGGGTTTGAAGACTCATACAGTAAAAATGTCAATTCTCCCCAAACTGACTTGCTAGATTCGAGAAAACCAAAACCCCCACAATTTTGTCTTTTAATTGACAAGAACATTTTTAAATGTACACAAAAGAGCAAATGATTAAGAAAAGCTAGGGAAAGGGCCAGCAGGTAGTGTGGTGGTTAAGGCGCTGGAATCCCATATGGCCAATTTTGGCTCGCATCCTGGACCTAGTAGCTTGCTTTCTCACCTTCCCTTTCTGTCTCTCTCTGGTCGAATTAAATAATAATAAAATAAAATAATTCTTTAAACAAAAAGTTAGAGAAGTTGAAGAGAAAGAACAGAGCTTAAACTACTAAACAGACTTATTATATTGATGTAATAATTAAAGCAGTGTGGCATTAACTCAAAGAGAGGCAAACAGAACAATGAGGAAAAAAAGCTAAGAAACAGACCCACATAATGTAGCAGTGAGATCAGCAGATGGCATAATGGTTTACATCGCTGGACTCCCACGTAGCCAACTATAGTTCAAGTCCCAGACCCGGCAGCTTAAAACTCACACCAGGCGTATGTGCGTGCATGCCCCAAACCAAAAGAGACTGGAGGAGAAGGGATTGTGGCCACACACACCTCGGGGTTAGGGGAGTGATTTCTGTGTCTCTGTCTCTCTACACGCCCCCTATAGCAAAAATCTCTCTTAAAAGGAAAGTACATGGTAGGGCAGTGGGAAAAAGAATCTTTTAAATAAATGTTTATATATACATACACACACACACACACACATATATATATATATATATATATATATATGTAGAGAGAGAGAGAGAGAGAAAAGATTCTTAATTTCTATTTCACATCATACCAAGAAAAAAAAAACAATTCCACTAAAATACAGATGTGGAGATGTGGATGTGAAAGAAAATTTTTCCAAAAGAAAACACAGAAGAGTATCTTCATTACCTTGGATGAGGCAAACATGTCTTTAAAAGAGCTGAACTAAATAGAAAAAAAGAAATACTAATTTGAACTCCTAAGAAACGGGGGGGGGGGGCGCTAAGTTGAAGCCCAAGTACAACATTTGAAGAGGCACTTCAGAAAAAGATACCTAAGAAATATCACTCCATACCCCAAACCTCTAGGCCTGAGGCCTAGCAAGCACTCAATGGATACAATGACAAGAAAAAAGTCCAAGCCCTACCTGACCCAGCCAGTCAGACACCAGGCACATCACACAGGGTGTCCATGCCCACCAGTCACAGTAGCTCCTAGGCCCTAGGAATTCGTCATCTGACATTCCCCAAGCAGCAGGCCAACTTCAAGCATAGCCACGGAGGGGCCAGCAGGTGGTATGGTGGTTAAGGGGTTAAGGGTGCTGGACTCCCACCTGGCTGATCACAGTTCAAGTCTCAGACCTGGCATCTTGTTTTTCACTTTCTCTCTCTCTCTTTCTCTCTCTCCCCCTCTCTGGTCAAATTAAAACATGTAAATAAATGGATAAAGTTAAATAAAATAATTTAAAATTAAAAAAAAAAAAAAAGAGTAGTCAGAGAGAAATGCTGCTAGGTTCTGCAGGTAGGCCCCTCAAGCATTCCTTTTTGGCCAAAGTAACCAATGTCTATGAAATGGAAGGGGAAATGCTGAACCTGCTCAATGAATTCCACGCTGGCCAGCTGCAGACCTTTGGAAAGGAACACTCATGAGTAGTTAGAATACACGTAGGGAATACAAAAGAAGCTCACTCAAATGTACCGCAGCCTGGTATGGGGAGAAGGATCAAGTCACTGTGGGGTTGCCCGAAAAACAAAAGATAATGGCTGATAACCACCTGGACCAGCTGCTTAGCAATCTGGAAGATCTTAGTAATTTTATACAGAAGTTGCACCTGCCTGAGAACACCAAGCTTGTGGAACAGTAAAGTGTACAGGTGTCAGACCCAGACTGACTGCTCCTCTCATTCTTCAAACTACAACCAAATCTTATGAGCTCAGGAGGGTGTGTGCATGCTCAAAATCTCAAGAAGAGACTATGTAAGAGGGGACTGCCAATGGTCATCTCTTCTGGGGGAAATGGGGGGGGGGGGGTGAATTCTCACATTTTTTCTCTCTCTCTGGTAAGTGCAATCTCACTACAGCAAAAAAACAAAAAAACAATAGAGCATATCATTCAGTGATACATATTTGTCCAATGCTGTGTCAAGATACTATTACATATGATAGTAGTACACCTTTTTCTAACAATATTTATCTACCTAAAGAGAGAAATCATACCTGATTTGTAGACATTTTCGGCACATTCACCTTCCACATCTGGGCTTCCCTAAAGATTGCCTTTTCCAACAGGAAAGACAATCTTTGATTTTCCAAAGGTCCTGGAAACTTCATGATATCCTTTGGATTTGTCTGCCACCCAACTTGATGTAGCTACCTATAAAATCAAATATACCAACATTCTTTATTTAATTACTACATAAATACAGCTACACACACACATAAATAAATGTTGGTACTTATTAAACAATTCATAAAATAAGAAAGTTATGAGGCAGTATAGGATTTTTATAGCTCTTTAAAACATTATACATTAAAAGGTTACAATAATGATCAGTTACCTGAACATTCTTTTTTAAATATGAAATTCATTTATAAAGTAATTAAAAACAAGGCCATATAATTGATAGAACTTTCAGACTATGATCAAAACATTACTTGTCAAATAACCAAGAAAGTTTAAGTCACTGGCTTTCTTTTATTAGGAATTCCTAAAGTAGTGGTTTTAAAAACTCCTCTTAAAAACCTAATCAGCTAGGGCCAGCAGGTGGCATGATGTGGTGGTGAAGGCAGAAGACTCCTCCATGGCCAACCATGGTCAAGTATCAGACCCAGGGGCCTGAAAATCACACCAGGCACACATGTGCATGCCCAAAATCCCAGGAGGAGAATGGACAAGGGACTGCTGCTTGGCTATTCCTCCTGGGAGATGATTTCTCACTTTCCCTTGCACTGTCTCTTCCTGTGAGCACAAGCACCCTATGGCAAAAACCCTTCCAACAACAACAACAACAAAACCCAATCAGCAAAGGACTACTAACATTTTTTTCTTCATTAAAAAAATAAAAATTAAATTCTATCCATTTTGGCTTATTCAGTATAAAGCCATCTTAAGTTGTGCTTCCAAAACCCTGTTCCAATAGTTACACATGTAGGTATCTTTTTTTTTTTTAAATAGGTAAGTTAGATAAAATAATAGAGAGAAAGCTGCCAGGTCTGGGACTCAAACTGCAATCAGCCATGTGGGGAGTCCAGCGCCCTTAACCAACACACCACCTGCCAGACCCTCACATGTAGCTATCTTTTTTTTTTTTTTTTTTTTTTAAGCATTATCTAACCAGTGGCCATGTGGGTTAAAGGCGCTGGCCTCCCACATGGCTGACTGTGGTTTCAGTCTCAGACCTGGCAGCTTGCTTTCTCTTTCTCTCTTCCTCTCCCTCTCTAGTAAAATTAAAATAAATAAAGTTAAATAAAATAACTCTTTAAAAAAAAGTTAAAATGTATTTTTAAAAAATTATCTAACTTTATTTATTCCTTCATTCATTTAATTTGACCAGAGACAGACAGAGAAAGAACAAGAGAGAGAGAAAGTGAGAAAGCAAGCCACCAGGTTCGGACTCAAACTGTGGTTGGCCATGTGGGGGTGTCCAGCACCTTAACCACCACGCCATCTGCTGGTCCCACATGTAGCTATCTTAATGTGAGTTGAAGAAAAGTTAAAAATTCAGTTCCTTATTCATACTAACCCCACATCAATAGCCATATGTGGCTAGCGGACATAGTACTAGACAATGCAGTAAGTCCTACTGCACCATAATGATCTTGACAGTAGTGACTAGTGTTCTAAAATGAGTAGTGAGTCTAAAAGGAAACAGCCTAGATCAGTACAAAGCAACTAAAGTCTGAGAGAGATGTCTCTAGGTCAAAAATAAAAAAGAAAGAAATGCCAATTTTCCAAGGTTTATGTAAAGAAAACTGAAAAGTTGAACAATGTGAAACCAGCTAGATTTCCTGAAAGCTAAACTGAAAAATAATTAACTTTAGGAAGTGTTAAAAAAGCAAATAATTAATATACCACAATGTTTACGTAGCAATAATAAAAATACTTGTTAAGAGAATTTAACAAAGGGGCCAGCAGGTGGTATGGTAGATAATGGTGCTGGATTCCCGCATGACCGACCATGATTCAAGGTTCGGACCTGGTGGCTTGTTTTCTTGCTTTCTCTTTCTCTCTCTCATTGTCTCTGGTCAAATTAAAAAATAATCAGGACCAACAGATAGCATAATGGTTATATATCGCTGGACTCCCATGTAGTCTACCGTGGTCTGAGTCCTGGACCCAGTGGCTTAAACTCACACTGGGTGCATATGTGTGCATGCCCAAGATGCTGAGAGGAGAATGGAAGAGAAGGGACTGCAGCATGGCCATCCCCCCTGGGCAGTGATTTCTCGCTTTCTGTCTCTTTGTCTCTGTCTTTTTGGTGAGTGCACATGCCCTATAGCAAAAAAAAACCCTCTAAAATAATAATAATAATAGCAGCAAATGGAATTAAGTAAATAATTATTTTTAAAAAAGGAAGAGAATTTAACAAAGATTGTGATAAGCTATGTTGAGAGGATAAAAAAAGATAAATATGAATGTTGGGAGATGGCAAAAAGAGAGCCATATTTTCAACATTTCATAGTAGGAAATCCATAAATAGTATCTAAAACTGAACTATCAAGAAACAGGCAGGGTACAAGAGACATACGTGTATGTTTTTATTATAAACCTCATAGTATTATTTGGCTTTTTCAACTATGTACCTACCTATTAAGCATGTTTAAGGTTCATGAAATTGTAAAAATGTCCAGAATATATGAAAAGTTTCAAATCTTCAATAAAAAATTTTAAATTTGGAAAAAAAAAAAAAGGTTCACTGAACTTTTTTTTTTATAAAGAGAGAGACTTTTGCTATAGGGTGCATGCCCCAGAGTGGATGGCCACACCACAATCCCTTATCCTCTGTTCTCTCGGGATTTTGGGCATGCAAGCACAGACACCCAATGTGAGTTTTAAGGTGCCAGCTCCAGGACTCGAGCTGAGACTGACCATGTGGGAGTCCAGTCCAGTGATATAACCATTACACATACCATCTGCTGGTCTCCCACCAAACTTTTTAAATTTCCACATTCAACTCCCAACTCCAGCTATCCTTTTTTCTATTAATCATTTCACAAACTTCACCTGTTTGCTATTCAACTTACCTCAGATTACCTCTAGTTAACAACTACATTGTGATTTTATTTTTGCTTTTTTAAACTCTTGATTTTTCTATAATGAGCAGAAATATTTTCATACTAAAAAGAATGACGATAAGTAACTTAGGAAAAATATTATCTATATTGAAAGATCATTTCTTTTAAGAATTCTTGATTGCCTACTCAAATATGATTTCTCTCTTCTGAAAGTAGCATTCCTCTATCTCAACGAAATTATAAATTCCTTTGAGATCAAATCTATCACTACCGGGAACCAGCAGTTGGCGTAACGGCTATGTCACTGGACTCCCACATAGTTGACCCCGGTTCGCGTCCTGGACCCGGTGGCTTAGAACTCACGCCGGGCACATGTGCATGCATGCCCAAGATCCCAAGAGGAGAATGGAGGAGAAGGGATTGCGGCGTGACCATCCCCCCTGGGGGGTGATTTCTCGTTTTCTGTCTCTGTGTGTCTGTCTGTCTGGCAAGCGCACGTGCCCTATAGTGAAAAAAAAAAATCTCTCAAAAAAAAAAAATAAATCTATTACTACCATCTTTTTATTACTAACTGTGCCCACAGCACTTTGATGAAACAGATAATCAATGTTCCAGTTTCAACCACTGGGGCCAAAAACAAAAATATACAACCGAAGACAAAACAAACAAATGCAAGTATGATCTCTATTTCATAAGCCAATCCTCTAATGTTTGAAGGCTGCTTTCACGCTCAGCAATTCATCTTTTTATAGCTGAAAAACTGTTTCTCATAAGACACTTTTGCCTTTCCAAATTAGTACATTTTATTACGAATGTAGTCTAAAGTCATTAGCTATGGGGTTTTTTGCTCTTTTTAAAGGTTTTTGCTATAGAGAACATCTGCTGGTCAGAGACAGTGGGAGGTAAGGTAAGTAATCACCCCTTCTCCATTCTCCTCTTGGGATTTTGCATGTGTATGCACACACACCAAGCATGATTTTTAAGCTACCAGATATGGAACTCAAACCCTGGTAGGCAATGTGGAAATCCATGCCACCTTTTAGATCCAATCTGTAACTTTTTTTTTTTTTTGGAGAGGTTTTTGCCATAGGGCGCGTGTGCTTGCCAGACAGACAGAAAGCGAGAAATCATCCCCCAGGGGGGATGGCCATGCTGCAATCCCTTCTCCTCCATTCTCCTCTTGGGATCTTGGGCACGCATGCACATGCACCTGGCATGAGTTTTAAGCCACCAAGTCCGGGACGTGAACAGCGGTCGACTACATGGGAGTCCAGCGACATAGCCATTATGCCAACTGCTGGTCTCCCAATCTGTAACTTTTTTAAAACAAAGAACTCTGGTCAAAGAAGAAAGTACAGAGAAATTAGAAAATACTTGATAGCCTGGCAGCAGTGTTGCACACAGTAGGGATGCTGCTGTGTCATGCTGGAAGCCATTTGGAAAGGCTCCAGGTTCTGTTGCTGGGGCTACCTGTACATGCCAAGTGTGCCCACAGGTGTATCCATGTTCTTAGCTGACTATACAGCTAGGGGGAGGAACACAGAATGAATATCCTGTCAAGGGTGTCTGAGTGTGTGTGTGTCTCTCTCATAAAATTAACAAACTTGAAAAAGAAAAGGGACCAGCAGTTAGCGTAATGGCTATGTGTCGCTGGACTCCCATGTAGTCGACTGCAGTTCAAGTCCTGAACCTGGTAGCTTAAACTCATGCTGGGTGCATGTGCACGCGTGCCCAAGATCCTGAAAGGAGAATGGAGGAGAAGGGATTGCAGCATGGCTATCCCCTCTGGGGGTGATTTCTAGCTTTCTGTCTCTCTCTGTCTTTCTGGCGAGTGCATGTACCCTATAGCAAAAACCTCTCAAAAAAAAAAAAAAAAGATATACATATATATATATATATATGTATGGGTTTGTTTTGTTTTGTGACTGGGGGGAATGAAGCTGCATGTTAAAAAAAAAAAAAAGAAAAAGAAAGAAAAGAAAAATACTTAAGATGAGCGAAAATGAAGAATACTAAAATATGCCAAGGGTGGAATAAGAGCAGTGCTTAGAGGTATATTAATTCCTGAAAATGCCTGTATTAATTGGCAACTCTATCTAGACTGACCAAGGGGAGGGGGCTCAATTACAAAAATTAGGA